CGGTCTCTCCTGCCCGGGCTGGCTTTGAACCGCGATCCTCAGATCTCAGCCTCCTGAGTAGCTAGGATTACAGGCGTGAGCCACCAGCGCCCGGCTCAGTCTTTTTTTTTTTTAATCAGTCATGGGGGCTTGAACTCTGGGCCTGGGCGCTGTCCCTCAGCTTTTCAGCTCAAGGTGAGCACTGTATCACTTGAGCCACAGCACCACTTCCGGCTTTTTCTGCTGATGTGGTGGTGAGCAATCGAACCCAGGGCCTCAGGCATGCAAGGCAAGCACTCTACCACTGAGCCACCTTCCTAGCCCCTCTCCCTGAGCGTTTTTGTGCGCACAGCCCACGCTCTACCATTGAGTCACAGTTCCACTTCTGGGATTTTTGGTAGTTAATTGGAGATAAGACTTGTCCAGATTTTCCTGCCCAGGCTGGCTTTGAACTGTGGTCCTCAGGTCTCAGTCTTCTGAGTAACTTGAATTACAGGTCTGAGCCACTGGCGTCTGGCACATTACTTAAGTTTTCTGTATGGTGAAGAACATGTAGTGTATGCATGAAGCTGACTTTAGGATTACATTTAACTAGATGTCTCTGTTGACTTAGCCCTGTGCTAACCCAGAACCTAACACACACCTGTGTTACCTCTAGCCATGTCTTCAGGGACTGACTTTTGGATCATGTTTACTCCAGTGTAAGCAAATGAGCAAGAGAGGCAGGGGAAATAGGAGACATACAGCATAAGTCGTCTTGGAGAAAAGAGGAGAGTCCATTGCTCAACCCCGTGTACCTCAGTTCTTATCTCTGGAAATCTAGAGACAATAACATTTGTCCTACCTCTCGAGGATTCGGAAATCCATTGGCCATGATAATTTTCTTGTAGTATTGAACTGAAGCCTTGGGATAGCGAGGCTTATTCCTGATGTTAAATTCAACGTAGTAGAATCCGTATCTATCTGCGTAGCCTCTCTCCCATTCAAACTCATCCAGCAGAGACCAGGAAATGTACCCTTTTATATTAACTCCATCTTTGATAGCTGTAAAAACACATCATCCCATTTTTTTTTACTGGCCCTGGGGCTTGAACTCAAGGCCTGGGAGCTATCTCTAAGCTTCTTTTGCTCAACGATAGCACTCTACTACTTGAGCCACAGTGCCATTTCTGTCTTTTTCTAAGTAGTTTATTGGAGGTAAGAGTCTCATGCACTCTTCTGCCTGGGCTAGCTCTGAACCATGATCCTCAGATCTCAATCTCCTGAGTAGCTAGGATTATGTAAGCTACCAACACCTGGCCTAACACAGTACTATTTTTCTTAGTAAATAAAATCTGTTAAAAATGGGATGACAGCCAGGCGCTGGTGGCTCATACCTGTAATCCTAGCAACTCAGAAGGCTGAGATCTGAGATTCAAGGTTCAAAGCCAGGCAGGAAAGCCTGACCACCAGGAAACTGGAAGTGGTGCTGTGGCTCCAAATGGTAGAGTGCTAGCCTTGAATGAAAAAGATCAGGGACAGCGCCCAGGTTCTGAGTTTAAGCCCCACAACCAACAACAACAAAAACAGCATTGTGCAGGTAATATTAAACTTCTAGGGCTAGGAATATGGCTTAGTGGTAGAGTGCTTGCCTAGCATGCATGAAGCCCTGGGTTTGATTCCTCAGTAGCACATATACAGAAAAAGCTGGAATTGGCGCTGTGGCTCAAGTGGTAGGGTGCTAGCCTTGAGCAAAAGACACTCAGGGACAGTGCCCAGGTCCTGAGTTCAAGCTCCAGGACTCAGGGGGAAAAACAAAACCAAACTTCTATTGTTCTGGTGGAGGGTTTTTGGTGCCAGTACTGGGGCTTGAATTCATGCGTCTTGCCTAGCTTTACACTCAAGGCTAGCGCTCTACCACTTGAGCCACAGCGCCACTTCTGTCTTTTTGTTTTTTGTCTGGTTAAGTGGAGATGAGTCTCTCCGTTCATCCCTTGTGTGGGCTGGTTTTGAACTGCCATCCTCAGATCTCACCCTCCTGAGAAGCTAGGTTTATAGGTGTGAGCCACTGGTGCCCTGCTTTAATTTCTGAGATGTCAAAGCAAGTTTTAGTTGCTCATAGGTGCTCTTGAGTTTGGCCTAGACTAAACAGGAGGTGTGGAGGGGAGTAGGGCACCACTCACCTTTCAGCATTTCGTTAATGTAGCCTCTGAGATACTGGATTCTCCACTCATCACACAGCTGAGTGCAATGCGACTGCTGAGGGGCTCCGTTTTCCATCACGTAAATGGGGGGACTGCCATATTGGGTCTGAAAGGGAGCCACAGTAATGAACAGCTTCAAGACTGATGCACAGGTGGGTTTCTCGGCCACAGGCTCACATGACCACAGAAAGTCAGGGCTCCACATTCTAATGAAGTGCACATTGACACACAGTAAGTGTGTCAGCTTAGAGACGAATGAAACTGGAGGTGTAGAGTTTCTGTGGAAGCATATATTGCATATCTTTTTCTATAACTTGACCTGGCTGGAGGAGAAATGTACTTCCTGTCTTGTTCTTTCCCATGTGTTTCTATCTCAGGTGAGACGGGCAAGAAAAAACCTAGAGCTAGCCAGGCACCTGAAGCTTGTGCCTAACTACTTAGGAGGCTAAGATCTGAGATCCACTGTTCAAAGCTAGCCTGGATAGAAAAATCTGTGAGACTTTTTTTTTTTTAACCAATCCTGAAGCTTGAACTCAGGGCCTGGGCACTGCTCTTGAGCCTCTCTGGGCTCAAGGCAAATGCTCTACCACTTGAGCCACAGCGCCGCTTCCAGCTTTTTCTGTGTATGTGGGACTGAGGAATCAAACCCAGGGCTTCATGTATGCACTCTACCACTGAGCCACATCTCCAGCCCCCTGTGAGACTTATCTCCAATGAAGTTGCAAAAAGCCAAAAGGGGAGCTGTGGCTTAAGTGGTAGAGCACTAGCCTTGAGCAAAAAAAAAGCTCAGGGACAGTGCCCAGGCCTTGAATTAAAGCTCCAGGAATGGCACACAAGAAAAAATTCTAGGGCTGATTGTGCATGTAGGAATGGTCAGTCTCCTTAGACCTTGTTCTACCAGGCCTGTGAGTAGTCCCCTCAGAAGCTAGGGTCCAACATAGGTAGCTGGATTTCATTGTCCCTCAGTGTTTAAATGTAATCACCTGAGTTTAAATACAGGATGTAACTGAGGAGTTAAAAACAGATGTAACTGTCTTTGGCAGCAGGTTGAACCTAGGGCCTTGTGTATACCACACCATACCCTCCCAGCCTTGTGATTTACTGTGTGTGTGTGTACGCATGTGTGGGTGCGTGCACATACATGTCTATACTAGGGTTTGAATTCAGGGCCAGGGAACTATCCTTTTGCTTTTTGGATCAAGACTGGTACTCTACCACTTGAGCTACAGCTCCACTTCCAGCTTTTTGCTGACTATTTAGAGATGAGTCTCATGGGCTTTCCTGCTCTGGCTGGCTTCACACTGTCTCCTTATATAGTTTAGGGTGACAGGCCTGAACCACCAGCATGTAGCTTTATTTTGTTTTTGAGATAGAGTCTCCCTAACTGTTCCCAGGTTGGCCTCAAACACTCAGTCTTCTTGCCTTCATCTTGAAGAGCCAGGATTATAGATTGTGGTGCTGTGACACTGCCAGGCTAGGTAGGTAGGTAGGTTAGCAATGCTACGTACCTGAGCAAAGTTCAGGAGCCTCCTAAATCCCCAGGGCACAGAATAGAGCCATTTGGACCCCAGATCTGGCCAGGTGGGGTCAACAAACTCTATTAAGTCACGGTCGTTGTGGTAGCTGGGTCCCTGGCGGGAAGGGAAGTGCCTTTCCGTGATGTATCTTGTCGTAAAGTGACCCAGTCCCAGGAAGTCAGCTGTGCCTTTCATGTAGCTCTTCTCCTGGAGAGAGAACTCGGGCAGCCGGGACATCTCCAGCCCTTGCTCTGCGCTCTTCCTTCCTGACCAGAGGCAAGAGGGACATTGGAGGGTTGTTTGTTTGTTTTTCTCAGAAATCACTTATTGTTTTTTTTGGGGGGGGGGTCCTTTCATGGGGCCTGAACTCTGGGCCTGGGCGCTGTCCCTCAGCACTTCAGCTCAAGCTAGCGCTCTACCACTTGAGCCACAGTGCCACTTCCTGCTTTTTTCTTTTTGCTTATGTGGTGCTGGGGAATCGAACCCAGGGCCTCAGGCATGCAAGACAAACGCTCTACCACTGAGCCACCTTCCCAGCCCCAGAAATCACTTATTGTTATATTCTGTGATGAAACTACCACATTGACATAAAATATTTTCCTATTTCTTCAAAACAGATAACATAACAGGTGCTGGTGGCTCACGCCTAGAATCCTAACTTCTCAGGAAGCTGAGATCTAAGGATCACAGGTGAAAGCCAACCTAGGCGAGGAAAGTCCATGAGACTCTTCTCGCCGATCAACTACTAAAAAGCCCGAAATAGAACTGTGCTCAAGTGGTAGAACGCTAGCCTTGATATAAAAAGCTCAGGGATAGGGCCAGGACTGGCACCAAAGAAAGGGGGTGGGGGGGGAAGGACTTGAATAGACATTTCTCCAAGAAGATAGACATAAGCAATGAGCACATGAAAAGATACTTGAAGTCACTATTCATTAGAAAATACAAACCAAAGCTACAATGAGATGCCACCTACACCTACCAGGACAGCTACTGTCAAAAAAGCAAAATCCTATTTGCAACATGTTCATCGCTGCAATATTCACAATAGCAATATTCCACAATGGCCCAGATGCCCTCCAGTGGATGAGTAGATCTGAAAAATGTATCTGTACACAGTGGAATTTTACACAGCCATTAGAAAGAATAATATTACATAATTTGCAGGGAAATGGATGGACCTAGAACAAATCATGTTAAGTGAGGTACGCCAAGCTCAGAGAGACAAACCACACTTTTTTTTTCTCATTTTCAGAATGAGGATATGATCTTTAGGACGCTAAGCATTCACACATAGGCTAAAGGAGGATACCCTGAGGGGAGGAACCCAAAGGCATAAATCTTCTGAACATTTAAAATACTATTTATCAAAATGAATACTGGGGGCTGGGGATGTGGCTTAGTGGTAGAGTGCTTGCCTAGCGTGCATCAAGCCCTGGTTTCGATTCCTCAGTACCACATAAACAGAAAAGGCTGGAAGTGGTAGAGTGCTGGCCTTGAGCAAAAGAAGCTCAGGGACAGTGCCCACATCCTGAATTCAAGCCCCAGGACTGGCAAGAAAAGAAAGAAAAGAGCTGGGTGCTGGTAGCTCACACTTGTAATCCTAGCCACTCAGGATTGTGGTTCAAAAAAAGCTCAAGGGACAGTGCCCAAGCTCCAGGACTGGCAAGAAAAAAAAAAGAATTTCAGGACTGGGCACTAGTGGCTCATGCCTGTACTCTTAGCTATTCTGATGAATTTTGATGATCTCTATTCAAAGCCAGCTGGGCAGGAGCCCGTGAGGCTCTTATCTCCAATTAACTGGAAGTGGAGCTGTGGTTCAAAGTGGTAGAGTGCTACCCTTGAGCAAAAGAGCTCAGGGACAGCACCTAGGCCCTGAGTTCAAGCCCCATGACTGACAAAAGAAAAAAAAAATTCCAAGAAATGGAAACAGTTTTTTTTTTGTTGTTACTGTTGGTGGTAGTGGTGTTTTTGCTTTTTTTCCCTTTCTTCTTTTTAGGGGAGGCAATAGGACACAGAAATGGAGAGAGGAAGAGTAAACAAATGCAGTCAGGATTTTCAGCATATACTATGCAGAAAATGAACTATGTAACTTGTGGACAGGGATAGGTGAGGGAAAGCAAAGGAAGGGGTGACAATGTCCAAAAAGAAGTATACTCATTACCCGATTTATGCTAACTTCTGTACAACACCTGAATAATAATAAAATTATATATTTTTATGTTATATATTTATATTAATATATTTATATTATATTATAATAAAATTATATATTTTTTAAAAAAGATTTGGGTACAGTGGCTCATGCCTGTAATCCTAGCTACTTAGGAGGCTAAGATCTGGAGATTGCAGTTCAAAGCCAGCCAGGACAGGAAAGGCCCTGAAACTCTTATCTCAAATTAACCACCAGAAAACCAGAAGTGGTGCTGTGGCTCAAGTGGTAGAGCGCTAGCCTTGAGCTGAAGAGCTGAGGGGCAGTGCCCAGGCCCAGAGTTCAAGCCCCACAACCGACCCCAAAAAAAAAAACAGTGTAGTAGCTTGGCTTACCAATATGATCCTTCATGACTTGGGGATAGTCACCCGCGTAAATGGGGTTGGCGAACCAGCCCAGGCAAAATTGTAGGTATCTCTCAGCTGCCTCTATGTCCTTGAGTCTGTTCATGTCCACAGGCTCCCCCCAGTCACAGGTCAGCGAAATCCCCACCACACCTTGAGAAAGAAAAGGAGGGATGGGTAGGGGGTAACAATGCTCGGTAGGAAATTACTCATTACCTTACTCATGAAACTATAGGTCCTGGTGCTTGAACTCTGGGCCTGGGCGCTGTCCCTCAGCTCTTCAGCACAAGGCTAGCGCTCTACCACTTGAGCCACAGCACCACTTCACTTCCGGTTTTCTGAGTGGTTTATTGGAGATAGGAGTTTCCTGGACATTCCTGCCCAGGCTGGCTTTGAACCATGATCCTCAGATCTTAGCCCCCTGAGTAGCTAGAATGTCTGCACAGTATCTTTACAATAAAAAATATATTTAAAAGAAAAAGGGGGCTAGGAAGTGGGGTGACATTGCTTCTGTGAGCTTATATCTATTATCTAAAGTTTGTCAAAGACCAGGATTCAAACTTCTTTCTTTTTTGCTGGTCCTGGGGCTTGAACCCAGAGCCTGGGCAGTGTCCCTGAGCTCCTTTTGCTCAAGGATAGTGCTCTACCACTTGAGCCACAGCACTCACAGTGATTCATTGTGGTCTCATGGAATGTCCTGCCCTGGGTTGGCTTCCAACTGTGATCCTCATAGCTCCGCCCCCTGAGTAGCTAGGATGACAGGTGTGAGCCCACCAGCGCCTGACTCAGACTCTTGAACTGATGCTTTCACTCATTGGCTGACAGTCTACCACCTGAGCCATGCTTCAAAACCAAGCTCTCCCTATGAGGCCTAGGCTGGCCTGGAACCCTCCCTCCTCCCGCCTGCACCCCTGAGTACCACATGTCTGCTCCCATGTGCAGTGGGGCTTACCATGCTGCTTGCTGCGCCACGTGGTGTTGTAAGCATGCCAGGCTTGGGCGTGTGCCTGCAAGAGGAGGAGGGATGCATAGCTGGCCGACTCCAGTTCTTTCTCCCTCACCACTGGGATGACCTTACTTAACTATTTTTTTTCTTTTTTGTTGGCCCTGGGGTTTGAACTCAGGACCTGGGCGCTGTCCCTGAGCTTTTCTACTCAAGGCTAGAAAGAGCTCTACCACTTAAACCTGTCTTTCATAGATAAGAAAGTCTGAAAAGCCACCTGAATTTTTTTTTGGGGGGGGTCCGGTTGTGGGGCCTGAATTCTGGGCCTGGGCGCTGTCCCTCAGCTCTTCAGCTCAAGGCTAGCGCTCTACCACTTGAACCACAGCGCCACTTCCGGCTTTTTTCTTTTTGCTTATGTAGTGCTGAGGAATTGAACCCAAGGTCTCATGCAGCAAGGCAAGCACTCTACCACTGAGCCACCTTCCCAGCCCAGCCACCTGCATTATTATAGACATGTTCACAGCTCCACCTTTTAAATATTCCACTTAAGAACTCACAAGGCAGGCTGGGAATGTGGCTTAGTGGTAGAATGCTTGCCTAGAATACATGAAGCCCTGGGTTCTGTTCCTTAGTACCATATAAACAGAAAAGACTGAAGTGGTGCTGCGGCTCAAGTGGTAGAGTGCTAGCCTTGAGCTAAAGAAGCTCAGGGACAGTGCCCAGACCAAGAGTTCAAGCCTCAGGGCTGGCGAGAAAACAACAAACAAAAAAAAGGAGCAAAATGTAGAAAGAATGCCATGAGTTTGAGCATCTGCTGTTCACCAGTGACCTCCCAACCTTAACACCTCGCCCGCTTTCTGCTAAGTGTCCCTTGGGACCAATCCCCTTGGGTCTGTGCCCTGATCCTCAGTCACCATCACTGGCATCCACATCTAGGTCCTATAAATGACCTAATTTCCTCCTGCCACTTAGCTTATGCTTATGACACCTGCTGTCACTCAGCCACCTCGTTCTGTGGACAGCCTCATCGCTCATGGAAGATTTCAGCCCTTTCCTCCCATCACTATCCCTCCAACTATGGACCCACAGGTAACACAATGCACAGGTGCACAGGAGAATGTGAGCCCATTAGATTACTATAATCTGAGCCCCAGTGGCTCATGCCTGGAATCTTTACCACTCAGAAGGCTGAGCTCTGGGGATCATAAGTCAAAGCCATGAGCAGGAAAGTCCAGGAGACCCTCCTTTCCAATAAGCTAGCAAAAAGCCAGAAATGGAGTTATGGCTCAAGTGGTAGAGAGCCAGCCTTGAGCAAAACAGCTAAGGGACAGTACCTAAGCCTTGTGTTCAAGCCCCAGTGTGGCACGTACATGTGCACACACACACACACACACACACACATGAAAAGCACTTAAACGTGTCAGTTATAGTGATGTGAATGCAAGCTGGAGAGGATCAGCAGAGGCTCAGACTCCTGGGGCAGATGCCTCCCTGCCCTGCAGCCCAGCCGCCTCTCCCCGCTCCCTGCAAAGATCAATGATCAGGCTTACCTTAAGGATGTGGTGTGCTACCTTGTACAGGCCGGTGCCGGGCAGCCTCAGGCCTGGAGCGTGGTGGCCCGTCTCATAGCCCTTCTCCACCATTGCCTATGGGAACAGCAAGTGGGGATCACACCACCAGTGGGAAGGAGCAGAGAGCCCCCCTCCCACCCCTGGCTTCCCCACGTGAAGAGGGACCCTGCTTACCCGAGGATCGCTGAAAGTGACCCAGTGCTTCACTCGGTCCCCAAAGGCCTCAAAGCACAGGTTGGCATAGTCGCTGAAGTAGCCGGCCATGCTTACATTCTGCCACCCACCATATTTGACCTGGAGCAGCTGCCAACACAGAGAGAAGCTGGGGCCCCCGGGAGAGATGAGGCCTTGAACAATCTGACAGAGGAAGTGATTTCTACAAACCAGGCAACACCCAAGTGGGAGACTTCTGCTTGCAAGGAACCTACCTGGCATTTGGATAGTGAGATCTTCTACTGGGCTCACGCCTGTCATCCTAGCTACTCTGAGGCTGAGATTTGAGGATCAGGGTTCAAAGCCAGCCGGGGCAACAAAGTCAGTGAGACTCTTATCGCCAATAAACTACTCAAGCTGGAAGTGGCGCTGTGGCTCAAGTGGTAGATGCTAGCCTTCAGCAAAAGAAGCCGAGGGACAGTGCCCAGACCCAGAGTTCAAGCCCCAGTTTTCCCCCACCACCAAAAAAAATAAAATCCTTTAAAAACAAAAAACAAATGAGAGCCAGATGTCAATGGCTCAAGCCTATAATTCTAAGCTACTCAGGAAGCTGAGATCTGAGGATCATGGTTCCTGAGATTCTGATCTCCAATTAACTACCAAAGAGCCTGAAATAGAAAAAGAAAGAGAGAAGGAAAGGAAGGAGGGAGGGTAAAGTCTGACTGGGGATTTTGAGGTCCCTATGTAAGTTAGAGGACAAATCTTGGAAACCTGACCTCTGCACAGATGCCTTTAGGTTAGAGTGGGGGCCCTACTTTTTTGGAGAGCAGGTGAGTTTGGAGAAGGCTAGGATTGGAGGGCAGCTGGGGACCTCCAATGTGGAGCCCAGGTGACTGGAGATAGGTTTGTGTGTAGGTTGAGCCACCAAGAGGCCTGTAAGCCTGGACTGCAGGAGGGAGCCAAACTAGCTCTAGGGAGGCTGAGATCTAGAGGATTGAGATTCAAGGCCAGCCTAGCAAGTTGAGTTGCTTTTGCTCAAAGCTAATGCTCTACCATTTCAGCCATACCTCTGCTTACAGCTTTTTGGTAGTTAATTAGAGATGAAGCTCTTGGACTTTCCTGCCCAGGCTAGCTTCAAACTAGGATCCTCAAATCTCAGCTTCTGGAGTAACTAGGATTATAGGCATGAGTCACCGGCATCCAGCTGTTTATTTTTAAGACAGAATTTCACTATAATGCCCAGTCTGGTCTGGAATTTTTGTTCCTCTTGCTTCAGATGCCTGAGTGCTGGAATTAGAGGCATACCCCAATCAGGCCCTGCTAAAGTTCCGTTCTTTATAAGTCATTCAGTCTGTGGTATTGCGTCCGAGTAGCACAATAGGCTAAGACTGAATTGGAGAGACCGCTTCACTCACGGAGCCCAGACCCCCTGTCTCTGCCCCAGTGCCAGGCTTCCGGCTCCCTGCTGAGCCAGGCTTCCCCCCCCCCCAGCCTGCCTGGCCCTCACCTGCGGCAGGTCCCAGTGGTACAACGTGACGATGGGGGTGATGTTGCTCTTCAGCAGGGCATCGATCAAATTGCTGTAGAACTCGATCCCTTTCTCATTCACCTGCTCAGCTGCAAGCAAAGAAGATGGGCTAGAGATGTGGCTTAGTGGTCGAGCACTTGCTTAGCATGCATGAAGCCCTGGGTTCCAGTCCTCAGTACCACATACACAGAAAAAGCTGGAAGTGGCTCAAGGGATAGATGCTAGCTTTGAGCAAAAGAAGAGGAGGAGAACATGACTCTACCAGAAAGGATGTCAGCCTTACCTTCTAGGTGCAGCAGCCCCGGGCCCTGGGGCTCTTCACAAATTGCCGGGACCCTTGGCCTAACCAGCATCCTGTGTCTCATAGAGAATCCTTTCTTTCTGAGCCGGTTCTGGGGCTTGAATTCAGGGCCTAGCCTAGCTTTTGCACTCAAAGGCTGGTGCTGTACCACTTGAGCCACAACTCCACTTATGGCTTTTTGGATGAGGTTCATTGGAGATAAGAGTCTCAGATTTTCCCGCTCTGGGCTGGCTTAGAACCCCCAATCCTCAGATCTCAGCTTCCTCAGTAGCTCGGATGACAGGCATGAGCCACCTGCTTCCCAGGGGGCCTTTCAGATGTCTGGGAGCTCCATTCCCTACAGAATCTCCACCCCCAACACTGTGGTGTCCCTGCAGAACCTCCCCGGACTGCCCTGGCTCACCTCGGATACCGGTGGGCAGGAGCCGGGGCCAAGACAAGGAGAATCGGTAGTGAGTAACTTGAAGCTCCCGAAGCAGAACTATGTCCTCCTGTAGAGACAGGGGCGAGGCCACCAGATAAGCGGGAGGGGAAAGCGGAGGCCACAGAGCCTACAGCCCTGCCAAGGCTCTAAGTGGGAGAGGAAAAATCTGCCTCCTCTGCCTGGAATAGGGGGAAGAACACCTCCCCCCCTGTGGCTGTGCTGTGGGGTGGGGATGGGCACCTGTGGCTCACACTTCTAATCCTAGCTACTCAGGAGGCTGAGAGCTGAGGATTGCAATTTGAGGCCAGTCTGGGCAGGAAAGTCTCAGAGACTTATCTCTAATAAACCACTAGTGGAGCTAGTGGTTTAAGCCCCTTAAGCCAGTAGTGGAGCTGTGGCTTAAGTGGTAGAATGCTAGCTCTGAACAACGAAAAAAAGGCTCAGGGACAGCACCCAAGCTGTGAGTGCAGGCTTTAAGACTAGGGCTGGGAAGGTGGCTCAGTGGTAGAGCGCTTGCCTTGCATGCATGAGGCCCTGGGTTCGATTCCTCAGCACCACATAAGCAAAAAGAAAAAAGCCAGAAGTGGCGCTGTGGCTCAAGTGGTAGAGCGCTAGCCTTGAGCTGAAGAGCTGAGGGACAGCGCCCAGGCCAGAGTTCAGGCCCATGACTGGACCCCCCTCCCCCCCAAAAAAAGACTAGAAGAAAAAGAAAGAAAGAGAAGGAGGGAGGGAGAGAGGAAGGGAGGAAGGAAGGAAGGAAGGAAGGAAGGAAGGCCTATCAGAGTATTCTAATAAACTTGAATATAAATCCCCCAAGAAGCCAATCCAAGAAAGGGGCTGCGGAGAAGCTAGTCCCACCCCCTACACAGGGTCACAAGCAAGCCACGGGCAGGGACCAGGCCTTCAGAGAACTCTGACCTCCGTTGCTGTGTTTCCTTCTCCTCCATCTCAGACTTCTTTGGCCACACTGTGTACAGGATGGGTTTTTGTTGTTTGTTTATTGTACCCATAGTGGGGCTTGAACTCATGCTATGGCTTGGCTTTTTCCCTCAAGGCTGTCTGTCGACCGCTTGAGCCACACCTCCACTTCCAGCTTTCGCCTACTTAACTGACAACAGGAGTTTTATGGCCTGGGCTGGTTTTGAACCTGGATCCTCCGATCTCAGCCTCCTTGAGTAGCTAGGATTACAGGCGTGAGCCACTCGCACCCAGCTGGCTAGATACAGGGTGTTTGGCATAGCATCAGGTTGCTTGTCAAATAGACTCCCCGACTCTTTGGCAGGCTGGCACACAGCACCCCGCCCCAAGCCCTCACTCACCTGAACCTCGTAGTAGCCATCGCAGGCCTCGTCTGCCGTGCTGTCCCCGAGCACCTTCCCGGGCCCGCTGTGCGTGAAGGCATCCCAGATGCTAGCTCCTTTCCCGTCCTGGTCCCAGGCGCCCTCCATCTGGTAGGCAGAACTGCCCACACCCCAGGAGAAGCCTGGGCCATGGACCGCCTGTCTCATCCAGAGCTCTGCCTCCCCACTTCAGGGCACCCCCCTCCCTCAACTTCCCTGGCTCCCTGGCATTGGGTTCATTGAAAACATTTTTGAGCCAGTGATTCATGTTGAGAATCAAGCTACTTAGGGTTCTAAGATACAGAGGAGCGATTGCAAAAAGCTAGGTTGGAGGCTCAAGTGGTAGAATACCAGCCATGGTGAGGCCCTGAGTTCAAACCCAGGTCCTGGCCCTCCTCAAAAAAAAAAAAAAGCAAAACGGAGGCACAATTTTTAGTTCACCTTGCTATTCATTATCTGTGTACATTTTAGTAATTAAAAAAAATCTTAGTTGGGCTGGGATGTAGCTCAGTGGCAAAGCGCTTGCCTAGCAAGCGCAACGTCCTGGGTTCGATCCCCAGTACCAAAAAAGAAAAGACAAAAAAAAAAATCTTAGTAAGCCAGGCGCCAGTGGCTCATGCCTATAATCCTAGCTACTCAGGAGGCTGAGATCTGAGGATCACGGTTCAAAGCCAGCCAGGGCAGGAAAGTCCGTGAGACTCTTATCTTCAATAAACCACTTAGAAAACTGGAAGTGGTACTGTGGCTCCAGTGGTAGAGCGCTCGCCTTGAGCTGAAAAGCTCAGGGACAGCACCCAGGCCCAGAGTTCAAACCCCATGACTGACTAAAAAAAAAAGAAAGAAATCTAGGACTAGGAATGTGGCTTAGTGATAGAGTGCTTGCCTAGCATGTATAAATCCTTGGGTTCAAGTCCTCAGTACCACATAAACAGAAAAAGCCAGGAGTGGTGCTGTGGCTCAAGTAGTAGAGAACTAGCCTTGAGCAAAAGAAGCTCAGGGACAGTGCCCAGGCTCTGAGTTCAAGTCCCAGGACTGGCAAAAAAAAAAAATCTAGGGGCTGGGGAAGGTAGCTTAGTTGATAGAGCATTTGCTTAGCATGCATGAAATCTTAGATTCAAACACACACACACACACACACAATGTGTTAGAAACATATTTTACAACAGTTACATGGAAGTATGTGTCTCTTATCAGTCAGGAAGCTAAAAGCACCAAATTCCTTGCCACAGACAATCAGATGGTCAGACAGACAGACATTTGGAGACAGATGAGCAGAAGAATGGACATACCGGGCGGGAAAGTTCCATAGTAGAAGGAGGCATCTTCTGGGGACCTCTTGCTTGTGGCTCCCAGCCCAGGTACCAGCGGGAGCACACACCACAGCGTGAGCACCCACCGTGGCTTCATGGTGCCCAGGCCTCCTCCATACTGGAGAAAAGCACCTGTGCAGGTCACTGGCCAGACTGGGGGTGGGGAGGACACAAATGGGGGACACTTGGTTTGTACCCACAGATGAGCCCATGTGTACACTGGCCCCTGGTGGGACACTGAACAGGAGACCAAGCCAGGCCTAGCAAGCACTGGGTTGAATGGGTTAAGGCTCCAAACCAAGCTGGTCTGAAGAGGCAGACCCAGCCCTCACCCCTCCAGCCCCTCCCTCCAGCTCTTCCCCAGGGGAGCTCCAAGTCCAATGCCAACAGGCCCGAGTGTCAGGGTGAATTCCTTCCTATTGACCCAGCCCAGGCAGCTCACCCAGGGTTGCTCTCGGATCCCAGATCCAGATCCCCTGCTCTCTCGGATCCAGTGTGCGCCACCCCCCCAGAGTGCAGAGAAGGCTCTGGTTGGGGGGTGTGGCCCATGGCCTGATCCTCACAGAGGGGCCTGATGGAGTGCTGAGCTGGCAATGCCGCCTGACTCAGCAATGCCCTTGGCCCTGGGCCCTGGGCCTCCAGCTGCCCCCTCCCGGGGTAGATGGGCAGCAAAGACAGGACAGGGGGCCAGTCCTCTGATCCTTTAGACCTGATTTCCCACCGTCAGCCCCTCCCTGCTGGACTGCATGGAAATCTCTGTGATTTATGAAAGTTGATTTTCCCACTTCAGCCTCTTCTCTTGGGACTCTTGTTTTTGTCAGTGTCGGGGCTTGAACTCTGGGCCTGCGCACTGTCCCAGAGCTCTTCAGCTCAAGGTGAGCACTCTACCACTTGAGCCACAGTGCCACGTACAGTTTTCTGGTGGTTTATTGGAGAGGAGTCTCCTGGCCTTTCCTGTCCGGGTTGGCTTTGAACCATGATCCTCAGATCTCGGCCTCCTGAGTAGCTAGGATTATAGGTGTGAGCCACTGGTACCTGGCTCTTGGGACTCTTGTATCCATACTTCACTCTGGCCTCCAACCTGTAATCACCTTTCCTGTAGATAATCCCTACTCCTGCCCCTGAACTCAGTCCTCAGATTCCCTGTTGCGCTGTTCTCTTGCTGTGGATCCCTTAACTGGAAGCCTGACCTGTGAACTGGTTGATTCTTCTCCGTGAATCCTACAAGTCTTCCATAGACAGCACCTTCAACGAAGTCGGGTGTTTATCTGTCAGACACCCTGCCTTACTCACCCAGTCTCACCACGGTGGCCCAGAGGGCCCTTAGTGGTATAAGATGAAGCCAGGCACCGATGGCTCACACCTTTAATCGTAGCGACTCAGAAGGCTGAGATCTGAGGATCACAGTTCAGAGCCAGTTGGCACAGGCAAATCTGTAAGACTCTTATCTCCAATAAGCTAGCAAAAAGCCAGAAGTAGAGCTGTGTGTGGTTCAAGCAGGAGAGCACCAACCTTGAGTGAAAGAATTAAGGGATAGTGCCCAAGCCCTCAGTTCAAGCTCCAACACACACACACACACACACACACACACACACACACACACACACACACGGTGTGCGAATCTAAATGAACCTAAATATCACAATTATCAGTTAACCTGCTTAGAGATGAGTCTAAATACAATGATTACTGTTAACATGCTTATTTTTTTTTTCATTTTGTCTTTTTGGTTGTGGGGTCTGAACTCTGGGCCTCAGCTCTTCAGCTCAAGGCTAGCGCTCTACTACTTGAGCCACAGCGCCACTTCTGGCTTTTTCTGCTTATGTGGTGCTGAGGAATCGAACCCAGGGCCTCAGGCATACAAGGCAAGCGCTCTACCACTGAGCCACCTTCTCAGCCCAATATGCTTCATGCTGATTGAATGGGGTTTCTCACAGACAAGGTATCTTCATGGATTGCTTCATTTAGGTTTTTGTTTTGTTTTGTTTTGGGGGGGGGTCCGGTCATGGGGCCTGACCTCTAGGCTTGGGCGCTCTCCCTCAGTTCTTCAGCTCAAGGCTAGCGCTCTACCACTTGAACCACAGCACCACTTCCGGCTTTTTTTCTTTTTGCTTATATGGTGCTGAGGAATTGAACCCAGGGCCTCAGGCATGCAAGGCAAGCGCTCTACCACTAAGCTACCTTCCCAGCCCTTTCATTTAGGATTTTTTTTGTGTGTGTGGGTACCAGTTTTGGGGCTTGAACTCAGGACCTGGGCATTGTCTCTGAGTCTCTTTGTGTCCACGGCTAGTGCTCTAGCACTTGAGCCACAGTGCCACTTCTAGATTTTACTGAGTAGTTTATTAGAGGTAAGAATCTCATAGACTTTCTTGCCTGGGCTGGCTTCAAACTACAATCCTCAGATCTCAGCCTTCCCAGTAGCTAGGATTACAGGTGTCCTGGGGCTTGAACGCAGGGTCTGAGTACTGTCCCTGAGCTTACTTGCTCAAAGCTAGTGCTTTAGCACTTTGAGCTACAGCTCCACTTCTGGCTTTTTGGTGGTTCATTGAAGATAAGAATCTTATGGACTTGGGCTGGGAAGGTGGCTCAGTGGTAGAGCGCTTGCCTTGCACGCTTGAGACCCTGGATTTGATTCCTCAGTACCACATAAGCAAAAGAAAAAAGCTGGAAGTGGCGCTGTGGCTCAAGTGGTAGAACACTAGCCTTGAGCTGAAGAGCTGAGGGACAGCGCCCAGGCCCAGAGTTCAGGCCCTACAACCCCCCCCCCCAAAAAAAAAAAAAAGAATCTCATGGACTTTCTGTCACTGCTGGCTTGGAAACTCAGTCCTCAGATCTCAGCCTCCTAGGATTACAGGTGTGAGCACCAATTCCCAGCTGTGTCAGGGCTTTCTCTTTTTTTCTTTTCTGGTCATGGGGCTTGAACTCTAGGCTCTCCATGGTTTATCACAAAAAATAAAATTTAAGCTGGCTGCTGGTGACTCACGCCTGTAATCTTAGCTACTCAAGAGGCTGAGATCTGAGAATTGCAGTTCAAAGTCAGTCTGAGCAAGAAAGTCCGAGAGACTCTTATCTTCAATTAACCACCAGAAAACCGGAAATGGCACTGTGGCTGAAGTGGTAGAACGCTCGCTTTGAGCTGAAGAGCTCTGGCACAGTGCCCAGGCCCAGATTTCAAGCCCCAGGACTGACAATAGAGAGATAGATAGATAGATAGATAGATAGATAGATAGATAGATAGATAGATAGATAAATAGATTAAAGGTATGTGCTGGTGGCTCACGCCTGTAATCCTAGCCACTCAGGAGGGTGAGATCTGAGGATCACAGTTCAAAGCCAGCCTGGGCAGCAAAGTCTATGTGATTCTTTTTTTTTTTTCTGCCAGTTCTGGGGCTTGAACTTAGGGCGTGGGCACTGTCCCTGAGCTTCTTTTGCTCAAAACTAGTGCTCTACCACTTGAGCCACAGTGCCACTTCTGGCTTTTTCTATGTGATACTAGGGAACCAAACTTCGGGCTTTGTGCATGCTAGGCAGGCACCCTACCATTAAACCACATTCCCAGCTCTGTGAGATTATTATGTCCAATTAACCACCAGAAAACTGGAAGTGTCTCTGTGGCTCAAAGTGGTAAAGTGTAGCCTTGAGCAAAAAAGCTCATTTCTTCATGTCTTCTTGGGCAGGCGAAGGGCTGGGCTTGGGGCAGAGGCTGGTCTGACTGCTGGAAGACCTATACAGAGGCACTATCTTCAAGGGAAGAGCCTAAGACTCCAGAGATGTCAAGAGGAAGCCAGTTTGTGGTGCTGTCCTCAGAAGTAAGGGCTACAGTAGGCCAGGGATGAGCACAGATGTTTCCAGAAGTGATCACTAGGATCCAGAAAATTCCAGCCTCCTTTGTTGTTCACTGATCTCCAGAGTTGACTTCTCTCTCACGCATGTGCATATATGCATGTGTATATGTCTGTGTGGTACGTGTGTGGTGTGTGTTTGCTGGCCCTGGGGCTTGAACTCAGGGCTTGGACACTGTCTCTTAACTTTTAAGCTCAAGACTAGTTAGAGTACTACCATTTGAGCCACACAGCTCCACTTCTGGCCTTTTGGTGGTTAGTTGGAGATAAGGGTTTCCTAGACTTCCCTGCCTCTGGCTGACTTTGAACTTGGATTTTCAGATCTCAGCCTCTTAAGGAGCTAGGATGACAGACACAGGCCACCAGTGCTTTGTGTATTTTATTTTATTTTTTTGCCGGTTGTGGGTCTTGAACTCCGGGCCTGGGCGCTGTCCCTCAGCTCTTCAGCTCAAGGCTAGCGCTCTACCACTTGAGCCACAGCACCACTTCTGTCTTTTTTTCTTTTTGCTTATGTGGTGCTAAGGAATCGAACCCAGGGCCTCAGGCATGCAAGGCAAGCGCTCTACCGCTGAGCCACCTTCCCAGCCCGGTGCTTTGTGCATTTTAATAGTTACACAGCCTTCTGTGGCAGGTGCTCCACCAGCGCTCATCAGTCCTTGCAGAGACATGTTGGGGGTGATATTTTACTTTCACAAAGACTGTTACAATACATAACCCTGGGGATGTGAATTCCCAGCTGTATAGATTTCTACTCTTAAAAGTGGCATGGATGGATTCATTTCCATTTGCACTGAAATTGTCCTTGAGATCTAAAGTCCTTCATCTGAACGGCATCACTGTCACCGTGGCATCCTGGTATTGAGACCAGAGCTGTGGAGGTCACAGGCCCAGCTGCTCGTGGTTGGGGCAGCTCTAGTTGATCCCTGAAAACAAAACAGAACAAAAAAACCCCACCCCCAACCCCATCACCATCCCAGAGCATTCCAGTTTAGTGTATAAACCAGAAATCACTGTATAAACCAGGCTGGCCTGGTTGCTGTGGGCCTCCATTTCCAGATGGTTTTCCAACATTCTTTTCCAGTACTGGAGCTTGAACTTGGGGCCTCCTGTTTTCTCTCAGGGTCTTCTTTTTTCCCTTCCTTCCCCTTCTTTTCCCTCCCCCCCCAACTCCCTTTCTTTTCTCCTCTCGCTCTGTTGTTCTGTCTCAGTCCTGGGGTTTGAACTCAGGGCCTGGACAATATCCTTGAGCTTTTTT